TGCGGCCTTAATTCTATGATATTTAAAATCTTTATTATTGACGTCTAAGAGAATTCGATATGGCCAGTATTTGAAATATTCTATTTTTGAAACATTGGTCATTGAATATAAAATTAATTAAGATTTTGTAAAGAATGTCGGTGAATCCACTATTAAAGACAAAAGAACAAAGTACACTATTAAGCGGAGAGCACAAACTCTTGCATAACACATAACACGTAATATATAAGAAAATGTACCAATCAACGACTTTCGTTTCTTTCCTTTCCATGAAATAAAGAACTCAGATTAGTTGAATTCCTTATGCATTACGTGTTATGCGATAACAGCCTGTGCTCCCCGTTTTAATCATAATAATATATAATTAAGCGATAAAAACTGGACCGTATCATCATTCTAATGAGGATTAATTCTAATTTATTTAAAAAATCTGCAGAAGCAAAAACATCGCAGAAAAAAATTTATGAAAAATTCGAAAGTTATAAAACATCCTTGATATTCGATTCGATTTTAAAAAAGTGTAAAGATCACAATTTTCACTAGGACGATGTTATAAATTTGTGAATAGCGTTTGCATGCAACTTCCCCTTTTTTCTTTTCAAACAATACTCTTGAACGATCTCGGTCTTATTTTTAATAAAATTTAACAAGGGAGTACCACACGGAGAGAATTTTTTTTTTTTAATTTATCCTGAAAATATGGTGATACTTATTTTATACTTTATTGTAGTTTTATTAATGAATGAGAGAGATTTATATCAAAATTCTTCGAAATACAATGTTGTCCCACGATTGTCATATTTTCAAGATAAATTCTAAGAAAAAATTCTCTCCGTGCACAAAAAGCACAAGAATGTTTTTTTAAATTATTCTCACAGGTATAATATTTCGGAATGCAAAGGACTAGTATTGAAAATGTATGGGTATCTCTTTCCCCCACCAAATTTCTTAAAATGAAATTTGGTGGGGAAAGAAAATTCTATACCATGTATTATCTATTTTGTGAAAGCAAAAAGAAAAGTTCAAAGTCCAAAAGAATATCGTGTACACAAAGGACAGGTTTTCTAGTTCCACATGGTCTGTAGTTTAGTGACTCAGTGCATTTCGGACATTCAGTGGATACAGTGCAAGAGTTCTTACCCAAAAAAGACTTCTCTTGAAAATTAATTTTCATTAAAGAAGATAACACTGTAAATTTACTTCGCATCTTCTTGAACTTGTACACTCTTGAAACACGTAAGATCGGTACGTACATAGACCGCTATTGAAGCAAGCGTACTGTTTAGAAATAAAGGTGGATAAATATGTTTACATTGCTCTCGCACGAAACCCTTATCGCTTTCCCCAAACGATGCGCGATAGATCTGCGCTTACACATAAACATCCGACGGTGAACGTGTCGATGAGAGAGCTTTCATTTGCCGTAACAGTAGTGACAAATTGATGTGATTTTTACATTCCGGGTGTCGGGCAGGTGAATCGTATCAATTTGTCGTTATCGTTATCGTGCGAGCAATCATTTTTTTAAAATTAATTTAAGATAAACGCTTTACTGTTCCGCGACTGTTATCGTTGAGTGAAAACGCTTGTTCATATAATAATTTGTTGAGATATACATTTCACCCCGCTCGAAAGTTATTGTTTCCGGTTTTGAGACGTGTTTCTGAGATGAGCAAACTTGTAAGGAAGGATCTGTATGAAATTGTAATCATGGTAACACGCATAGTAGTGCAACGTTCGACGCGCCTCTACCACGTGTGTAACGTCACGTGGCGTGCGCATTTACATCAACTCTCTCGCAAGGGTTTGTTAAAGAAGTTAACACTCCTGATCAATCACTTGGATCTGCGGATGATCGTCAAGTGCTTCAATCGGAGACTCTTCGCTGATGACCCGGACATTCTCTCTATCGGCTACAATGAGATCGTGCGACGTGGTGTGCGAGATACTGTTTACGTTGAAGTTATAGTGAAAAAATATGAGACGTTACACAGTAAGTAAAAAATTTTTCTTTAATATTATAATTAGTATTATATATTATAACATCCAGAAAGATATAATTGATTGATACAAACGACGGATAAGCCTAGAATAATTAAAAGATATCGAAATTTTTCGACTTTTGCTAAATAAAGTGTATATGAAATAAAATTGAATACAGTTAAACTTTAATTGACTTTAAATAATAAAGTAAATTTTTCAACTGAAAAGTAAAAAGAGTGTTTAAAAAGTATAAAGGAAATAAACAGAAAATATATTGTGATATTTTAATCTAGAATTCTCGAATTTTTTAGAATGTTTTAGAATCTTTTTTCTTTATTTTATTATATTAAAATTATTTAATTTAAACATTATTATTTTATAATAATAATTTTTGTTGTGAAATAGTAACTTTCGCGTATAGAAATGCAAAAATTAAAAAGCATTGTGTTCACAGTCTCATATTGACATTAACTTTTCATTTGTATAGTTTAAAAAATAGATAACAAAAATACTATTAATTGCGGTATTATAATGCTCTCTTAATTTTTAGTACGATGTTGCGATTCGGCGACTAGCGATTAAAGGAAGCAAAATAAGTTGATTAAATGAAAATTCTTTACAAAAAATGAGCAAATTTTCTAGAAGCCGCCTTTTCTAAAAGTCTTTCAAGACACAACCCGGCGCCGCGCTGTCTTGAGTAGGCAGAAGAGAGCGAATACCTTTTGTTGAGAACAATAGATACCCATGTCACTGCGTATTTCAGTTAGGATTCAGGTATTTTGTAATTCTTAACGACAATATCGGTATCGTTATATTATCGTTGCGTAGATAGTATTATATAAAAAGAAAAAAGTTGTACAAGGGTAATATAACGGTATCAATATTATCGATTAAATTGATTAAAAGTTAAAGAATCTTAGTGTAGATACATTCAGGTCAAATGGACGCGAAGTCAAAAAAAGTATATTAAAAAGAAAATTAAATAATAAATTATTTCAAAAAATGTTTTGTAATATTTTAATCTAGAATTTAGAATTCTAGAATTCTTGCCAGATTAACTTTACAGAAATTTAGTACTGGAAGATTGCATGCAGAATTCGAAACATTCGACGGGCCAATGCAAATTTAGCGTCATGTCCGCTGCACGAGATGCTGCAAATATTATTTAATTTGTACGTCAAGGTACTGATTATAATTATTTATTTTGAACATTAAAAACATTGTTTAATATTTGTAATACTCAAAATAAATAATTTTCAATATTAAATTAGCCAATATTCTATAAGGGTATAGACCTCTTTGACCACATTGTGATCGAGCCGAAACTGGATGGGCTTGGCTTAAAGCTTTTAATGTTCGCAGCGTTTCATGCAGCGGACGTGACGCTATATTTGCATTGGTTCGTCGAACGTTTCCAGTATTAAATTGGCTAGTATTAAAAAAAAAAAAATGACGAACAAGAATAATTAAAAAATATCGAAATTTTGCTCGACTTTTGCTAAATTCTCGTGGAAAAGTGTATGGAATAAAATTAAATAGTTGAAGTTTAGTCGATTTATAAATTTTTCAACTGAAAAGTATAAAAAATTATTATTAAAAAAATGAAATATATATCATGATAACTATTTTATCTAAAATTCTAGAATTTTTAGAATTTTAGAATATCCCAAAATCTTTTCTCTTTTATTTTATTTTGGATTTCCATAAGAATAGATCGGATCTCCTAGACAACAGTGTCTAAAAAAGTGTCAAGTCATATGACGTTTTTTTGTGTCTAAAAGACGACTTAAAGGCGTCTTATGTCACAATTTTAGACTTTGTGTTGTTTGTGCTCTTTCTACACCCAGAGAAAGATTTTTTCAATTTAAATAAATGTTTCTTTGCTATATAGTTAAAGAAAAAATTTCTTTGATTTAAATGTCATTTTTTTGATTTGAATTATTTTTTTAAATCAAATACATTTTTTTATTTAATTTCAATAAATGAATAAGTTCAAACAAATAAGTTCAAATCAAAGAAATGACATTTAAATCGAAGAAATCTTTTCTTTAACTGTATAGCAAAGAAACATTTCTTTGAATCGAAGAAATCTTTCTCTAGGTATACATTATATGCTGCGCAAGTTGTATGTGAATGAGTCGAGCTTAGTACACAGAAAAATATCATTCTATTATTAGTAATTACTCAATTTATTTTCTTTCTTTTATTTTTCAATTATTTTTAACAAAAGAATGTTTTCTTCATAATAATCTTAGAATATATTTATTACAAATTTTAGACGAACTCGTTAATATGTATTCAAACTAAGAATTAATTTTCTTTTTTGAATATTATAAACATGTAAAAATGATTGAAGAAGCGATTTTATATGATAAGCAAATCGAGTTTGTTTTAATTAAATAATCTTGACTAAAGTATCAAATTTATTAAGATTAAAAATATATGATATTTTGAATAAATTTGTTGTTTATAATGAACTTACGATGAGGGTTTGCGGATACTTTTGAATACTTGAAATAAGTAATCATTATTTGCGTACAGTATATATTTTCTATGTGTATGGCTTTTAACGTTCGCTGCATCTCGTGCAGCGGAAGTGACGCTAAATTTGCATCGGCCCGTTAAATGAAGGGAGAGAAGAAAGTAAGAATGCGAACAAAAAAAGCGACATACGTGTCACATCGTGTACATCACGTGCACGTAACCGGTCACAAGGAATCGCCACGAAAGAGAGGGAGTCGAAACGTATTTTATTTTCGCGATAATCGGATTTTGAAATTTTGAAAAAGCACGAACGGTTTTTTCTTTTTCTTTTTCACGACACAAAGTACGACAATTATCTCATTTCGGGGAAAAAAAATGTCAGAATTTCGAATTACTTCCCTCAATTCCTTCTTCCTCTTCCGCCCTCATCTCGGATTTCCTCTCCCCGCTTCTGCGCACATTTGCGCTCGGCTCGGTACAGAGTACAGACCCTACAGAGTGCTCGCAGCTCGCAGCGCTCGAAAAACGCCATTTATGCGGTCGGCGTGAATAGGTGCCGACTGCGGAGTCTCGTAGAGTAATCGCGTATAAGAATCGCAGTGATCGCACATCATTCAGCAGGTATCCTTTTGAAAAGTTTTCGAAACGTGCCCTTCTCGGTCATACGACGAAAGGTCATTCTCGACGAAGCGAAGCGAGCGGAAGCGAGGCGTTCGTGACGTTTTCTCGACGGCGACAATACGGGTATCGGCGGGGCCATCTCTCTGGGGGATCAGGTTAGGTCGATTATGCGAAAAAAAACGACAATGGCGCTGCGGATTTTCGAGATGCCAGAATAACCGACGCTGAGTGTTTATTCGTACTAACACTCGGTCGCACGTGCGAACGCACGATTCATCTGCCTCTGTGTTTAACCCCGAGATATCATTCTCAGTGAGAAACGGCAACATGTCGAACGGACTGGCGTTATTGAATAACAACCAACAATCGACTCCGACAAGTACGAGATGGCTCTATTGATTTTCCCCGCGATGCACTTGCAGTGTATACTCCCGTGTGTTTATACGCCTCACATTATTTTTCTCGTTTTCAGAATGCGGAGCGTCCATGACTCCTGCTAATGGTAATACACTGTCGGAGAACTCGCCCAGCGGCCATGCCGCGCAGGTAAATCGAGACGAATTTAATAATTCCTAACGTAAAGCGTGCCATCTTCTCACCTGTTAGTGAACACCTGACCCGTTGTTTCATTAGAAATACGAGAGAAAGCTGACTTAATAGATTTGATCAAAGTGGTCTGTGATATTTAGCTAAGTAGAAATTTTTATAGGCTTTAATTCCAATACATTCCTTCAAACAACTTTTTTTTTATCAAGAGTAAGAGAGTAAGATGACTTAACAGATTTGATCAAAGTGGTCTGCATTAGCTGAGTGGAAATTTTTGTAGGATTTAATTTGAATATATTTGTTCAATTTTTTTTCACCAGAAATAAGGGGAAAGTAGAAATTTTTGTAGACTTTGATTCGAATAGAAAATGTCCAGATAACTTTTTTTTAACTTGGAGCAAGGTGAATTAAAAATGTGTAGAATAGCATTTTTATCTCTAGTAAATATAAAAACGCTATTCTATACACATTTTTAAATTGTCACACTTTACTTTGGTAAAAGTTTCTCTTTTATTTTTTATGAAACAATGCAAGGTGTTGGCTCACTAACAGGTGAGAAGATATAATTTTATTAGAGATAGTTTTAACTAATCTATAACAAAATTAAACAGCATAAATGAAGTTAGCTGAAATCTGTCAATACTTAAGATAAAAATTTATGAGAGAGTATCTTGAGATGTTGTATCTTGAGACACTTACACGTACCTGTCAGTTATTAATTTTTATATTTATTAAACAAAGCAAATTAAAAAGAATGATATGTACTAGATTAGATAAACATTTACTTCTTGCCTTATAGTTTTTTGGAAGAGAAATGTAAAAAGATATTTATTATTTTAAATACGAAGCGCGACTACGGTTTGAATGTTAAGATGTTGAACTATTATATATATTCATTTAAATGAATTAATTTCAGAAATTATAATTGCGTGCCAATATGGTTGTCGGACTTTCAACGTAATAAATCTGAAATATTAATAATCCCCCCAAATTTCCTAAATTTAATCTTAAAAAACTGTAACAAACTTATTGCGAAAAATATTGGCACCATATTGGTACGTAATTATAAAATTTCTGAAATTAATTCATTTAAATGAATATATATAATAGTTCAACATCTTAACATTCAGACCGTAGTGGCGCTTCGCATTTAAAGTAATATCTCTAACATAAACGGTCTTATTTCCAATCTTATTAATATTTATTATTATTTTTTTAGAATAATTGAGTCACAAAAAGAATATCAAATATTTTTAAACCGGTATAAATGCTATAATAAATATTTTAAATAAAATATTAAGAAAACATATTATTTTGGATCATATAGATCTAAACAGACTAGCAAAGTTAAAAAAAATTGGAATGATATTAAAACTTTTAACAACAAAAAAATTGCAAGTTTCTTTTATGATTTCTCATACTGATAATGATAAATCAAGTATTATAGAGAGTTTAAGTAAAATAATCAGTATGATGTCACAGTTATTTTCATAACTTTTTATCTTGCAGATGGGGCATGGAAATTTACCCAAATCTCAAGTTCTTAAGAGAACTTCAGAAGTAGATTTAGAAGGTAGGTTTATATATGTATACATACACACACATATATAATGTATATATATGTATAGCATATCAAAAATTTTATAAAAAATTTAAAATATTCTACAGCTTTTGTTGTAAATATAAGTCATCCTTACAAATTGATGTAAATGTCCTATATGTAACGAAAAATAAATTAGGGGACAGTTTTATTGAAAAATAATATTTTTATAACAATTTTAATATTTCGTTAGTCCTCGTTTGCTTTGTACTACCGCCTTTTCCAGAAAAATAAAATTAATTGAAGGTGTTTTATATTTACGGCCAGGCTGTGTATTCCCGTTTGTATATATTTAATGTTTAATATTTATTTGATAACATCGAAGTAATAAACTTTAATTTATTATTTAATTAGATATTATCACCGCTAAAAAGCGCCATAAAAATCCACAACCAAAAAACGCTGTATGCGCATTAAACGAGTTAAAAACCGGAGCTACATACAATGTTGTGGGACAAACTGGACCCACACACGCTCCAATATTCACGATTGCGGTACAAATTGATGGTCAGACGTACGAAGGAAAAGGACGCACCAAGAAGATGGCAAAACATGCAGCCGCGGAACTTGCTTTACGAAACATTGTCCAGTTTAGAAATACACCTGAGGTTCACCAAGCTATCAATACTTGCCAGCCTGTTGTGCCTCTTGAGCCAGATTTTACGAGCGACGTGACTGAACGTGATAACCATCTTGTCAATGCATTTAAAACATTAACGCAGGAGCCAAAGAATACTAATAAGTTTTTAGATAAAGGTCCAGTGGCATTGATTAACGAATTATATCCGGGCGTCGCATATAACTGTATATCCGATAACGGAGAAAGTTATGCAAAGTTTACGATATCGGTAACAATTAATGGTGAGACATTCGAGGGAACGGGCCCAAGTAAGAAACTGGCAAAAGCCGCAGCTAGTAAAGCCGCTTTAGCAAAATTGCGAAACGTCCATAGTTCTTCGTTTTGTTTATCATATCCTGTTCGCATCAACTTTCCTTCTCCAGAAATGTCTTTACCGCAAATGCTAGCTGACCAAATTGGCAAGATGGTTAATCAGAAATTTAGTGAACTCATGGTAACCAAACCGCAACACGCACGACGTAAAGTTTTGGCTGGTATTGTAATAACGAAAGGACAAGATGCAGAATTGATATGTGTTGCCACCGGTAAGATATACGCTTATTTTATTTCTACAATATTGAACCAAAAATCTTAAATAATAAAACATTTGTATTTACTGAAATATCTTTTTTTTTCGTAAAAGGTACGAAATGCATCTCAGGCGAGCATTTAAGTCGAAGCGGCAGTGGTATAAATGATTGTCATGCAGAAGTAATAGCACGACGATGTCTTTGTGAATATCTTTACAATCAATTAGACTTGCACATCGGAAATGAAAACAATGCTGACTCTATTCTCGAGCCAGCTAAAAAAGGATTCAAATTGAAACAAGGCATCCGATTTCATTTATATATAAATACCGCCCCTTGTGGTGATGCGAGAATTTTCTCACCTCACGAAGAGAATGATGCCATAGACAAGCATCCCAATAGACGAGCTAGAGGTCAATTACGTACGAAGATAGAATCTGGTGAAGGGACTATTCCTGTGAAGAGTAATGAGGGTATTCAAACCTGGGATGGTGTAATCGCAGTATGTATTATTTGTGTTAAAGGCAATTATACATTGCAGAACATTGAAAAAAAATATTCAGATTGCTTTTTATCGATGTTTTACTTTAAAATCTAATTTAAAGGGTACAAGACTGCTGACAATGTCGTGTTCGGACAAAATAGCTCGGTGGAACGTACTTGGTGTGCAAGGTGCACTCTTAAGCCACTTCATCGAGCCAATTTACTTCCACAGCATTGTCCTTGGCAGTCTCTTAAATCCGAGTCATATGTACAGAGCGATATGCGGTCGCATTGAGAACACTATTCAGGGTTTACCACCGCCATATAGACTTAATAAACCTTTAATGAGTCTAATTACATCTAATGAGATCAGACAACCTGGAAAAGCGCCTAATTACAGCGTCAATTGGACACTCGGTTTGTACATATTCTTAATCTCTCATAGAAAGAAATATGTAAAATAATTTAACGAATATATATATTTTTTATTACCTCAGGACAAAACGAAGCCGAAGTCCTAAGTTGCACAACTGGCAAAGATGAAGTAGGGAAACCTTCTAGGTTATGTAAACAAGCATTCTTCAAGCGGTTCTTTAATCTCTTACGTAATCTTCCGACTATAGATAATGTTGACGAAGAAGGTTGTCGTCTGTACTTGGATGCAAAATCTTTAGCACAAGATTACTCCGTAAGTAATTACATCTTTGATATTAATGACAATACATAACAATACGTATGAAATATTGTTTGTTATACTTTATATTTCATGCACCGTTATGTAGCATATCTTGTCTTTTTTCTTGAATAGCTTGCCAAGACTCAATTGAAGGATGCTTTCACGAAAGCACAGCTTGGAACTTGGGTGAAAAAGCCGCAAGAACAGGACGAGTTCTATGTCGATATCTGACTAAATCAGAGTAACAGTAGTATAACAAAAAATGCAAAAAGTCCACTTGTCGGATACGTAGTTCCTAGTGCAAAATAGATGGCTCGTTCGGCGTGTCATGATATGGCAGAATTTGGTATCAGTAAAGCATAAATCGTAGGATCTCATGCATGTGTTCTTTTGCGCCCTATGATCTCGATATATTTACCGTGTTCCGAATGTATTACGAATTATCGATAATTATTAATAATTTCGTTGTGTACGGTGTAGTCGATAGGAAGATTTGCATCAAAACTTGCATTATTTTGACTTATTAATAGCAATAAATATTGTTGACAAAAAGTCGATTCAGCACATATCTATGCGGAATTCCGTAATATTAGCAACTTACAACGTATTGCTTCTCATCATTTTTCTAATTTTGCTGCACTATATAAAACAGCTGAAAGGACATATTTGATAAATCTGTAATCTTTTCATGTGAGAAAATTTTGTCATGTTATCGACATTCCTGTATTTTACTCTTTGTCCAATGATATACTTGCATAAACTATATGGCTAATTGGTCATAATTTCGAATATATAGTTTTGAATTCGAAATAGCTTTAAGAGGCAAACATTAGTGTCTTAAATAGGCATTGTACCTACGACGTCCCCAGATAACATTCTACGTCAGACGTACGCAAATTTTACAAGTAATCGCAATCTTTTTTTTTTTTTTTTCAACAAAATTATAATTTGTCGCTTAGTGTAATGCATCTAACACTTATACGCACGTGACATGACATGAACATCCATGTATCATATACTGTGAACATATCCTTGCGTAAGTGTGCAGGCAAGTTAGCGGCGTCGATCACGATCTTGCGTGTTTCTATCTCGAAATATCCAAAACTCAGAATTTTATTTGTGAGTTCACACGAAATGCTATCTGGGATCTTTTTGTAGGGCATTAGGTATCATAGCAACGAATTAAGTTGCACTTTGCATCTTCAACGGCTGTGATTGGATTCAGATCTGACAAATGATCTTAATCGTAAAAAGTATTGCAAAATTCAGCGAAAATGGCAGAAGGACAGAATTTCTTATAAATGTTTGCATAATAATTGCAACTTTTTATTACATTAGCAATTTATAATTTTGTTTATCTATTATTATTCTTACTAGAATCGGAAATATTATTTCTGCTGTACATTCGGAAATATAACTTCAATGATTACCTTCCGATGTTTACAGCGAAGATTGTATTGCGCAAAAATATTTACAGTGAATTAAAAACGCATTGCAGATATTCAATATTAGAATTATGATAGATATTCGTATGCTTTGTTGTACAATCCTAGTTGCGTCGATCAGATAAATTTTTATCAAGGAATTATAAAAAAAAGGTGCATAATTGAAAATGATGACTGCGATTACAATCATCTTCTGTATTTAATAAAAAAAAAACTGTTTTAAAAATTATACGCTTTAAAACAATACACTATTCTTCGCGAGCAGTAAGATCTGAAACGACGAAAATTAGCTCTTTCATATTCAGTTTCATGCAAAAACCAGCAATGTCATATAAAAATGCTCATATAAAAAAACTTGAGGCAATAAATAACGAAACGTAATTTTAGAGCACATGCACTTTTTTATTAGATTCTGTGATAGGATTTTATCTGACTTTCTAAATTAGGATCTTTTTTTATATGTATGTCAACTTGCAACTGTCCGCAGCCCGTTCAATGTAATGATTGGTTATTACTCTTTCTATACGTATATATTAAATATACGTGTACAGGAGTTTTAAACAATGCAAGTGATTGGTGGTATAGAAAGAACACAATAATAATTACTTACGTGACGTGAATGATTACATAGTTTTCCAGATAAATATGTTAATAAGTACTCATAGTATATTTAGAGAGAATCCTAAGGTCATTGCCTCACTGTGCCAGTATTAACATCGTGCAATTCTGCCGTAGTGACACACTGCCCGCGTCGGTCCAGTTTTGCATAAAGAACTTATTTAATATGGTTTAATGTGCAAGGAAAAGCCAACAAAAATCCGTATTTTATAATTGTCTAAGTAATCATGTTAAATTATAAGTCTGCTCTTATTTCGGCCAAATATTTTCTAAAAGACAAACAGATTTTTTGTTAAGCGTATGTCACACACGCAATTGATTTTATACCGACCGTCAAAAATTTTTTTGTTTTACGTTTCTCGTAAAACTTATAATATAATGAGCTAATATACTGACGAGAGATTCTCGTGTAAAGATTATTGGAGCATTTGAAAACGTTGCCAAGGAGTAGCTTACTCATTTACTTTTTTAAATGTGAGATACATTCCATTTCTATTTCGTTTCTGTGGTTCTTATTTCCATAAAATAAATTGCGTGTGACGACGAAGTGTTTGGCTCACGTATATTGTAATCGTTATGTGATATCAACCGTGTATTTGTGCCAAGCGCAATACGCATCAACAGCTCAATGAATTTTGCTTTGTCTTCTCCTCATCTGTTTTCTAACAGACATTTTATCGACAAAACAATATAGTCAAGTATTCAATAGTGAAGGTGGAAAAAATTATTTAATATGCGCTATGTCACGCAAATAATTATCATACTATCTACAGAAAGAATGCTTCGATATATCCTCATCAATATAATTTTGTTTATTTTCCAGAGAATATCTCAATACACATATACATATATGTATATGATGTGTCATAGGTGTATATATATGTATACTGAAGGATATTCTGCATATAGAAAAACAAAACTATATAACATAATTTTAAAACATTTTGTCCATACACGGGCAGTGCGATACCTTCCCTTACATGTATGATTCACGTAATTATAACTTACCGCTTACTGTAAATGCGCTGCAGTTACGTTACAAAATTTATAAGGTATTATCTTTTATCTGAAATATCTAAGATTACTGTCTGATATGACTTACAAAATAATTGTTCATTTATTGTAAAAATTGTTTGTCTTAATTTATTATTCAATTGAAAATGTATTCACGAGATATTGAACGATTTTTCTTTCATTCTCTTCTACTTCCTTGCGCCTTTATTCAACAGAACGTACGAAAAGATATTTGTCGCGAATCATGCTATAACTGCTTGTTTATTGTCTAATTTGCCATATTTTTCAATGTTATTTGTACATTTATCAACCGTAAAACGCTTAATGCTATTTTTGAATTTCAGTAGTATGCAGAATTAAAGATTTGAGAGTAAATAAAAATCTAGGCTTTGGAAGTACATTTTTAAAACTAGTGAAAATAATCGTTTTCTCAGAAAGGATTGCACGATTGCACATAAAAAAAAGGAAAATATTTAATTTATTTATATCTATCTAATGACGCTTATTTAGAACAAAAGAATAAGAAAATGTTAAAAAAAATTTGAATGAAAAGATTAAAAATTTGTCTAAATCTTCACTCGTGTGTTATTGTTCGCACAAAAAAATGTACTTACAAATTGAGCATGAATTAAAGTTCGAGAACACTGCAATATTCTATAAAAAAATAGTATGTGACATAAAACAGGCAGTAATCTATTATTCTATAGATTCTCTCTATCATCACATGACACTCGAAGTAATGTAAGCATTAAAACTCGGCGTTCTTACTATTATTGCGGTATTAGTTATCAGTATTACTATTTGCAGTATTTTAACAATGTTATTGATTATATTTGAAAAAAGAAACGAGGTGATTTTAACTATTATAGATCATTTTTAGGTATTAAACGTACTACTGTCATTTTTAGGTATTAAAAATTACTGTCAAAAGACATATTTTATCGTTAAATATGCAATACGGAGTTCGAATTTATAATATAGCGTACCTTATTAAATAAAATTAGGGTAAGACTAGGTATTGTTTTTCTTTTTGATCTCTTCTTCCATCGTAAGTTTGCGAATATCTTACGTACAGAATATAATTGCATTTTATTATCGCACATACAGTATATGATATAGTATAGTATGATCTAGAATATCACAGTAATAATAATTCATTCCCAAAAGAATAAAAAAAAAAAGACCCAAAGTAAATCACTCAAAGTAAGATTAGAGATATTAATTATTAAATGTAGTCAATTTTACTTCGATTATAATTCATTATACGCTCAAATATGTACTATGGTCGAGATCCTGAGCAAAAATCAAGTATTATAACTGTCGAGTGTAATATGAATTTGTAGTCGGTTAGATTTTAAGCTTGACTATAGTGCCTCTAGATATAAGTAATTTAGAAATTAAAACAATCTAGTTGAACTTACAAAATAAACTTTTATTTACCAGATTCTCGCGTATTGTTTTGTCATTTCCTTCAATACCTCTTCCTTGCAATAGATAAAAGGAAACAAAAATATATTAATTTTAATTGTTTTTTTTTTTAATTATTCTACATAATAAAATTTATTTTTGCAGTATTAAGTGTATGAGGAATCAATTTAATTTCGGTTAAATGAAACACTATCATTTTCTTTAAACAACTTTATAATACATATTGTGACGTTAAACATTTTGTTTGTCTGAATTTATCTTGAAGCATTGACACAAAAAATGTTTCGCTTGCAATATATACGTGTATGTGTGTGTGTGTGTGTGTGTGTGTGTATGCGCGCACGCGTGTGTATACGTAGTATATAAACATTTAATTAGACATAATAAATAAATCTACATAAATACAAATATTTTTAAATACAATTTGAAATAAAATGATACTGTAATATACATATATATACACATATATATATATAATTTATGTATACGTTGTGTCTATGTGTATATATACTTAGTTATATATATAACAACTAATTATTAATTGTCAATTTATTTTTGCTGATGCTGCATTGTTAATTTTGCTATTTCTTGACCTAATGTATCAATATTTTCCTAAAAAAGAACAATATTACATTAAACAACGATAAATTATCTCAATAACGTTGTCTATCTAATCTAAAGTAATAAAAAAAAAATACTGAGCAATTTTATAAGAGTCGTTTTTTGGAGCAAAAATAATTTCTTTTGTTTTAATCAAGTCGATATATATTACAGTACGAAATTTTAAGACTAAATTCCAAGAGATAAAAAATGTCTCTAAAAATTTTTTAACTTACTACATGAAAAGACATGAAAATCTTTAGTACAAAATGTAGATAGAATACTCCAAAAATGTTTTAACATGCAATAAGTCACATTTAATATTATATATCACATTTTTTAAATTTCATTTCAATTCATTTATAATTTTTATTTGATACATTTACCTTTAAAGTAATATTTTTTAGTAATGCATCTTCGTAAAGCGCTTGTAACTTTTGGTTTATTTCCAAGGAAAGTTCTAGAGTCATATTCTCATCTGAAACTCGATGATTATAAACAGATGCCATTATACCTCCACGTCGTGCCAATTCTGCCTGCAAGTATATATACGCTTGTTTAGAATATATAAGTAAAGTTAAATATTATGTATATAAATAAATAAATAATTTTGTTTGACAATGTTTCTTAACATTATTTAAAAAACCTGTTTTCTGACACTTACGATATCTCTTCGGCTTTTGATATGCTTGGATATAAAAAACGAAAATATCTATCATTATAAAAATTTATATTTAAATTTAGTAATACAATGATTTTTTTTTAAACAGACTAGTTTTACCAAATCTATTCTCTATATCTATATATATATAAATATGATAAAATGTAATTAACTAAAAAAAGTATTTTATGTATACATACAAACCTTGTATCTGTCACTCTTGTTACATGTCAATGCTCCAAAGTTTTGATTTAAAATATAATTTTGTATTATTTTTTCTTTCTTCTGTATATCTTCGAGTAACGTCTGCGTATGTTCCTTGAAAAAATCCAATTTTTCAGCTCTTTTCACATTTATATCTTGCAACTTGATGATACGTTCCATTAATACTTGTTTATTAAGTTCTATCGAATTAATATGATCACTATTAGCATTGTTATCTGATAAGGCACCGTTTGATGTATCACCTAAAAGAAAAAATGCACTTTCAACGTCATAATTTAATGATATTTATAACAACTCATTAATACGACCGAGACATTGAATGAGATACTATTAATGTCAAACCTGCTAAGGAAGTGTTAGATCCAGTTCTAGATGCAATATCTAATGAATTACTGGGAGACGTAGTTTCAAATATTTCTAATTTTTTATGACACTGTTGCAACTCCCGTGTTAATTCCTTTATGGAAGTTTGATGCTTCCTCTTTAACAATGTATTTTCACCTTGACTATCTTCCAACTTCTGGGCTAAGTTCTGCGCGAGTTTAGTTTGTTCGGCAACATGCTTAGCTAGAATCTCACACTCTTCTCTCCGTTTTTTTCGTTCTTGCATCAAATCTTCTTCCAAAGTTTTGACTCTGCTGATCAATTCGTTAATACGTTCACGTAGCGGACCTTGTTCGGACTCAAGATAATTTGCCTTTGTTTGAATCGCGATAAACTCGGACTGAAGACGTACGTTCGTGTCTGTCAGTTTTTGCGTAAAGTCTAACATATCTGCTTCCTTCTGACGACATGCCTGCATATCGGATTGCAATTCCTCATTAGCTAATTGTAGTTGCAACAATTTTGCTTCAATTGATACTATACACTCTTCTTTACTGCAAAAACAAAATAATATTTTATAAAATAATTATTAAATAGCATTAAAATTTTTACAACCTTGAAAAATTTAACACACATAAATTTTTCAAGGTTATAAAAATACATATAATAGTTTTAAACTCAGAAGTTCAAGAATGTATAGATAAAAGATGGTTTGATGAGACTGTATTTTTAATGCAATTATTACATTTTTGTACAGAATATGTAAAATTATTTTATATGTTTTCAATATTATATATGTTTGTAAAATATTAATACATAAAATATATTATTGAGACTATAGTATAATATGCTTACTGTTGCAATTGCAGTTTTAATGTTTCTAACTGGGAGACTTTGTCCAATAATTCGGTAATTTGTAGCTGACGCTGATCCGCGACAATTCTTAAATCACTCAAACCATTTTCATTATTTAATCGAACTTTCTCAGACTCTTGTATTTTTAGACTAAACTTCTTGTTTTCTTCGATTAAGTTTTGTTGCTTAGATTTTAGTGTTTCTAGCTCCTTTTGTAATTGGAGCCTTAACGTTTCTTTATCTTCCGTAACATGTCTTTCCAAAATCAAACGTGCCTGATGCTCTTTCAGCTGTTGGTCTAATGTCACAGCTTTATTTTCTTCGGATTGCTGAAATTTACGAAATGATTCCTGCGTCTCGCGGCGTATTTGCTCGCACTCTTCTTTCATATCATTTATTTTCATCTGCAACATACATCTAATAAATAATATTGATATTCCATTAGAACTTAGAAATCTAATTTTTTAAAAATATAAATAATATTCCATTAAAATTTCTTTAACGGTGATTAGCAAGTTGAAGCGATTATTAAGATCGATAATAATTGTAATAATTTATATCGTAATGAAATTAGATAATTTTTACGAAATTTTATTTCATGTTATAAAAATATAGTCGTAAACAATTAATAACTTCCAAAACAATAAAAAAATAAATTTTCTTTTTTTTTATATTTCTATTAGTATTTGTGACTAAAATAAAATCTAATAATACTCATATAATCAAAATACAATTTTTAAACTACTATTTTACATGACTTAAACTACGTAAAAAATCGTATTATATTTTACTTTACCAAAGCTTTATCCAATTTTTGTTGAGTCTCCTTTTGTGACTCCATTTCAGTTTTAAGTTTAGTTTGCGTCCATTTTAGTTTAATCTCTTTCAATTTAACATCCTCTTTTAAATTCTCTATTTCCTTTTGAAAATCCGTTACTTCACGACATTTTCCATCCAAAATATTACATATTCTTACGCGCTCACCCTGCGTTTGGCGCAACTTGTTTTGTAGTAATTCCTGATCCTTTAGAAGTTCTTTAACTTTACGTTCTGTGGAATCCCTCGCTCTGTGTGTTGTATACATCACAAATTAAACTTCATGATGCAGATATAATTTAATATGTATGAATAATTTATCGTAAATTGCAGTCAGCTGGTCAGTTACTTATAATATAATAGCTCGACCCCCCGGTCTTTAAATCTTTACAGACATGACAAAGTAACAATATGCAAACGGAAACTTAAAAAGTATTTCTTTTCTCTTTTTAATTAGTTTAAAATATATATATATATGGCGATTTAAAATTATTTTTGTCTCGATATTTGAAATTTTAAAACTATTGTTGATCATACCTAAAAAATGTCAGAGATAAATCCTAAATTGATCTTCCTATAATTACCTTTGCGTATCAATCAATTGTTTCTCACTGGTTACGTATCTCATAACCATATTTTCTTTTTCCTTATTAATCGCAGCGCATTCCTTCTTCAGAACTTCTTGCGTCTCCAGCGATGTGTTCAAGTCGACTGTTAACTGATTTACAGTTCTCTGCAAGTTCTCCACTTGTAAGATAAGTGCTTCTGTAGTAAGTGCATTTGTTTCGGTTTCTTGAAACGAGTTGTTCGATCGATTTAACTTCTTTAAATACTCCATTCTATCCAGTAGTTTTGAGTGCTTGAGTTTTAAACTGGTGTAATCCTCCCATAGGGCAAGATACGACGGATGTTCTAATGAATCGTGTTTTAAAATATTTGAATCTAAAATACCGACATCAGACGAGTCTTTCTTATATGCGTCGTCGCATAACTCATCCGTCTGTAGAAAACTTTTATTCTCATCCGTTTCTCTCACCGACACATCGCGTTTTACTTGTTCATCGATTACATCACGATCTAATCTATCGTCATTGTTTTTAAGTACATAATACATTTTCTCATTCAATATTACTTTATTCTCAATATTGCTATTATATAACAGCTGTTCTATAGAATCATCATATATTTTATCTTCTTTCGTATATGGAGATGGATTTATCTCTTTTTCATTATTTATTACAGTATCCAAATTATTTTCGCTTTTACAATTTTGTTTTACCGTATAATCATTCCTTGCTTGATTTGTTGCCGAATTTACATATAATCTAGGAATTACGTCAGTCGAAGAAGATACATTACTAGTATAAAATCTCGCAGAATCACTTTCGACAGATTTCGATATGTGATTGTATTTCATCGCCAAATGCTGTAGCAGTAAAGCTTTTTCCATGATGTTCGTCGACTTTTCCGTAATGAAATTTAAAAAATTACGGCTTTTGTTTAAAAGCTGAACATTTGACTGCATTATATTCATTGGATTCGTTAGAAGAGACATTTTTACGAGTTTGCTATCATCGGCCAATGTCGGTCGGGAGATTGAACCTCGCGCGTTAATACTTAGTGCCGCAGTTGAATTCGATTCGTTCTTCTTGCATACGTCTATCTCAACTTGATTTCGCTCATTTGTAGTCTTATTATCATTTAATTGTAATCGTGAATCTATCGTTTCTTCGCTAAATTGTTTCATTTCAGATACATCACTTTCTGACATCTTTTCTTTAAGATAATCTTTCTCATGTTCCTCTTCTGTTGGATTATTCTGACATGCTTTAATACTCTTTTCGTTTAAGGAATGCTGCGAATCAGATAAAGGATTGTTCATCTCGCTTAATCGATTAAATAATGTCTCTTCTTCATCAGTGCAAGCTTTTACTATGTTTTCCTGTGTATGTATATCCTTTCGAAACACATTAGCTTTATTTTTGACTAAATATGAATCTAAAGATGATATTGTGGGTAATGAAGCACTTGTACAGTGAGAAAGTGAATTGCGAAGAGATTTATCATGATATGAAAGATGACTCTCGCTGCTAGACAATTGGCGAGTTTGAAGTTTTGTATTAGGAATGTCATTGATGGATTTATCCTTTTCAAAAGTGATGGCAGAGTTGATGTTGTCCACTGAACAATTCGATTTTATTTTTTCATCGTTTTTTCTTAACAACTCTGAATAGCTTTTATTTTCAAACATGTTGCTTCCACAGTGATCACTCCGAACTTGTAAAATGTCATTCTGTATTGTCATTCCTGATGCAAAAATACATTGTTATCATTTTCTTCAGAAATTAATAAACTTAGGAAAGTGGGAGAGAGATACAAAATAATTTAGTAGACTAACAGTAAGGAGTATGTACTGTCCATAGTCTAACTTATCACTGGCATAAATTTGTGTTAATTTGTATATAAATAAACATTATTATAATGTAATCAACAGTAGCAGGAAACTCTGACTTTTAAATTATTATACACAAATAATTTCATTAAAAAAACATCACTAGTATTATTATAGTATAATATAGTAATCTCATTTTTAATATTATGCTTTTAAAGCAGAACCTATATAGTATATATGTATATATGTATATATATATATATATATCATGTAAATCGTTTTTTGTTTATATCTCTTTTCTATACATGTGTTTTACAATTAATTATAATAATCTAAATGCTTTAGAGTCTCAAAGCCAAAGGAAATAACAGCATATATCTTTTAACGTTCTATATAAGATAACACACTTAATATACTTCAATAAGGAATTGAAACATGAGACTCGCAGAAATACATTCTCTATCTCTTTTTCTCCTCCTTTTTTCTCTATCTTTTTCTTTCATATATATATTTTGTTTTTATCTCAATGCTATAAATATATTTTACGGTCAATTATGATAATCTAAATGCTTTAAAGACTTGAGTTAAAAGATATAATAGCATATATCTTTTAACATTCTTTACAAGATAATATACTTATTAATATACTGCAATAGGAAATAATTTGACTCGTACAAGTCTTTATGCGACTCAAATACTTCAGTCAAGTATTTTTTTCTTAATTTAACAATAATACTGAAAATAATATTGGAGACTAAAGAATTGTGGAAACAGCACTGCTTAAACATTTCAGCTTAAGCACTACATTCTTTCACCACTGACATTTATCCGGAATAAGTGACGCTTTGAATACAGCTGTTCAATTTGACCTGACATATGCACGTCAAAACGGAATGTCACATGTTCCTGGGCTTGATTTGTACCTTCGAGCAGACGAACATCGTGCCTCGTGAGCGAACTGACTTTGTCGTATTCCACGGCAAAATCTGTTTCGTCCCCAAAAGAGTCTAAATTCTCGCCCATGCCGATCGAGGCTTGCCTGGCTGAATCTAATCTCACGACTTTGCCGTGTCCGCGAGTGCGGGCCCAACGAGTCCCGGCATTACGGGACAGGCCATGAGATGCATTCGAGATTCTCTATAAAATTAGAAAAAGTATACCTATGCACGAGGAGTCGCCTGTCAACCTCAACTACACAACTATCAACAACTATCAACGAATAATCACGCATAACTGTCAATAACTGTCAATTCCAGCCCCCAGGTGGCGAGTTACAGGCCGCGCGTGCGTCGTCGTGAAGCACGTCAAGAACTGCCACGTGACTAGGGTTACCATCTGAAGGTGTGGTCCATTTGAAGCATTCATAGCATCAAGTGGACCATAGCCTGAATCACAAGAAAAAGAGTACGTATATATTTTTTTTTTTAAACAATGATAATGCGGAGATGGAAGAAAGAGATATAATTTTCTTCTACGTTTTAAATGTAGGTATTTAATAAAATAAAATTCCTAGAACTTAATTTTTATTAGCAATTTTTATTAATATAATTTCATAAACGTAATATTTTAATTTAATGACCAGAAGCAGTCGAAAAGAGCACACGTACTCTTTAAAAAAAAGTACGGTTGGTAACCCTATACGTGACCGATAAACTACGATAAACTCAAGTTTTGATTTTTACTTTATATAGCTCAACCTGTTGTTGAGCCATGCGTCTGATTATATATTTCGTCGTGTAATTACAGAAAATACAACGCAAGATTAGATCCTAACAGCTAAACTTTTAGCACTTTTCGTCTTCTTTCTCTCCAATGTTATATACGCAGTTGTTACATTGAACAAGTGGTAATACCCGGTTTTATGACTGTTTACGACATACTGATAACACATACCGCTGTTGATTACGGCAAAATAACAAGTATAAAATTGTCTATAAAACAGACAAAATTAACATCATGAGTTTACGCTGGAAGATATTTTGGGAAATGAGACAAAGACAAAGGTATTTTATATTAGTTTCATCCTTTGGAAAATATAACATTAACTTGAATAGTATCATTTTTTCTGTAACATATTTTTATGTGTAAAGACTTTCCTAAAATTTTATGGATTACCAATTAATTTTTAGATCACAAATACCATCACTGCAAGTGATGGCAAGAAATTATAACACCTGCAAGGAATGTTCCACAGAAAAAAAGTATGGATCTTTTAAGAATGTGAAGAATCCTGCTATGTTATATACAACCTGTATTGCTGTTGCTGCATCAGTTTTAGGTATATCTTACTATACTCTAAAGTACAAAAGAAATGTTTATGCTCTTAATGCGACGCAAAATGTAAAATGTGGTCAATTACGAAAGGACATGAAGACCTACACCTTAGAAGAAGTGGGAAAACACGATAGCAAAGAGAAAGGAATTTGGGTTACTTTCGGACAAGGTGTATATGATATAACAGAATTTGTCGATAAGCATCCAGGTGGTCCTTCAAAAATTATGATGGCTGCTGGAGGATCCATTGATCCATTTTGGATGATATTTGCAAATCATAATACATCAGAAATACACTCCTTGCTGGAATCCATGAGAATTGGAAATATATCAGAAGAAGATGCTAAATCTAATAAAAGCGATCTGTATGATCCGTATGCAAATGAGCCTGTTAGGCATAAGGCTTTAAAAATCAATGGCAATAAACCCTTCTGTGCAGAACCGTCACCTTCATTATTAGTTGAGAGTTTTCTTACACCTGTGTAAGTGTATTATTCAATTCATTTTTTCTTTATAAATATATAAATACAAATTTTAATTAGCATGTTATACTATATTGAATTCTACTTTTTTTTTAGTCCATTTTTTTATGTGAGAAACCATTTGCCTGTGCCTGAGATAGAATTAAAGGATTATACACTAGAATTGGCGATAGAAGGGACAACTAAAAAGACCCTCGACTTCAAGACACTAAAAAAATATGAAAAGAGGACGATAACTGCAGCTGTAATGTGCGGCGGAAATAGACGTTCAGAAATGTCGAAGGTAGACCAATAAGGAATTATTGCTCAGGTTGCTCAAATTAGTACATAATACTGAATTCACTTACAGGTAAAGCAACTAAAAGGTATTAACTGGAATGTGGGTGCTGTTGGCAATGCAACGTGGACAGGTGTACGATTGTGCGACATATTAAAAGATTTAGGAGTCAATGAAGATGTATTTAATCACATTCAGGTATTTTTTGCAGTGTAAAAGTAACTTACTTTTCATAATATTATTGTTATTGAATAGAATTCTAAAAGTTAGATGTTTATTCCAATTACATTTAACACTTCTTATGTATATAAGCAATTTACAATTTGTATTAAAAATACATTAAGAAAAATATTTTCTTATTCATTAGTTTGAAGGACACGATCTAGACCCATCTGGCATGCCGTATGGAGCAAGTATTCCGATTTCCAAAGCTATGGACCCTAGAGCTGATGTGATTTTAGCTTATGAAATGAATGGTGAACCGTTAAGCCAAGATCACGGATTCCCTGTTCGAGTAATCGTTCCTGGTGTCGTGGGTGCAAGAAATGTAAAATGGCTGAGTATGAAATATTTCCAAAATCTTAATATAATTATGTATAATTACTGGATTTGTACTTAACATCAAACTCATTCACAACAGGTAAAATTAATGTATCAAAGGAGGAGAGTCAATCGCAGTGGCAACAGGGCGACTACAAGGGGTTTTCTCCGAGCACGACTTGGGACAACGTAGACTTCAATAAATCGCCCGCGATACAAGAAATGCCTGTAGTATCGGCGATATGTGATCCGCAAAATACAGACACAGTCGAAATTAAAAATGGAAAAATTCAAGTGAAAGGTAAATATGAAAACAAAATAAAGTTTAAAACTCATTGTGTTATCTTCAATTTCATTATGTTTATGACGAGCATTGTATTTTAAATTTCTTAAATATTTATAAAATATATAATTACTATTTTATCAGGTTACGCATGGTCTGGCGGTGGTCGAAAAATAATTCGTGTTGACGTTACAAACGATAAAGGTGAGAGACAAGAAAATGAGACTAAAATCAGCTAATTATTTTATTTCTTTAGCTGCATTTGAGAAGCACGCTATACTACAGCACTACTACATCATTTTATCTTTGTATTATGTCTAATGAACGATAAAGATAAAATGGTACAAGCGCTGATAAAACCCCAGCTTTTTAATGATCTCTTATTATTGATTTTCTATTTAATTATAAAGGTAAAACTTGGCATACAGCAGATCTGACAGAAGATCTTCAGGCAAATGAAGGTCGATACTGGAGTTGGTCATTATGGAACGTGGAACTTCCTGTGGATAAAAAATCGAGAGAAGTTGAAATCTGGGCGAAAGCTGTTGACTCATCGTATAATGTACAACCGGAAAATTTTAGTAACATCTACAACATTCGAGGATTGCTCTGCAACGCGTATCATAAAATTAAAGTACAATTAAAGCAATGAAAAATTGACTTTCCATTAATCATTGTGTGATACATTATCTATTTTAAGTCTTTAAGTTCTTGCAAGTCAAGAATTCGGTACTTTCTACTTTGTAATAAAATTTGTGATATTAGGTTGTGATATTCAAAAACACTTTGTATCGGATATATTTAGAGGAAATTATGCTCTCTTGTTATCTTTTAAATATTTTGTTCTTCAAACATTCTTTTCTCCACACAACGATCAAAGTAATAACTTTAGATAGAAATTGTTATAATAATAAGATTGGAAATAAGACGATTTTAATATAGGAGTACATCATCTAAATACGAGAAGCGTCGATTTTCTGTCAAAGTTAGATTTATACGTATACGAGTATATGTATTCTTTAAATGAATTTATCTCAGAAATATAATTGCGCTACTATTTATTATATGTAACTAAGTTTCCATTATTAGCGGACTTTCAGCAAAAATATCGATCCAAAATAATAATCTCCCTAAATATTCCAAACCTGTAAAGAACTTATTGCGAAAATTATTACCTCAGCCGGGATGAAATTGTTATATTTTATAATGAATTGGTATTATATAATTATTGTAATTCTTATGAAAAGTTTTCAATTTTGTAAGAAAAATTTGTTCAATAAAACTCGTGAAGTCAAGAAACTTGTAGTAATAAACTAATGTTTTTTTATCTGCGAATCACATAAATAATAAAATGCATTTTAAATAAGGTATATATAGTTTTAATAAAAGAGATTCTAATTGCTTTTAAATTCCCCTCCCATATTTTTAAATATAGATAATTTATAGGCCTGTTCTTTTTGGCTGAGCTTTTGCACTGGTTCATCTTTCTTCCTTTTCTTTCTTCCTGAAGAGAAAAGGAAGAAAGATGAACTGGTGCAAAAGTTCAGCCAAAAAGAACAGGTCTTATGTTTCGACGTTGGCAATTCTGATTTTGGAGGTACACGCTCACGCCGCACGAGGTCTTGCATTCCAAGAAGAAAATAGGATAATGCGCACGCTTAACTGATAAGTCGATTTTATAACCTAAAAATATTATTTTTTTTTTTAACTGAGCAATATCGGATCTAAAGACTTCTCTTGATCAAATTCCATATATATATTCGTAATATATATAATATATACAAATTCTAGAAAGTTTGGTGAGAGTTAATATTGAATAAATCTTAGTTTCTACAATTTTACGTCTTTGGATTACAATATAAATATAACAAATCATGTAATAGTGTTACATTGAAATTTTGACTTTATATCATGTAGTAAGATTTTGGATTAAAAGATAAATATATAAATAATATTTTTATTAATTATATATATTGAGAGTTAGATAAATGTGCAAGATACCTAATATTTCCTTTCTTTTAAAATGTCATAAAGGCTATTTTAGGAGAATCTAATATTATCACAAGTGCATTGTTATATATGTAAAGATTATACATATATCTTAACATATTTCTAGAATTTAAATATGTAAACAGAAGAAAATAATTCACTGTACTCATGGCTATGAGAAAAAGGAGTGGCTCTGGTGCCAAACGTCAACATAAATGCAAGTTAGTACCAATCTATGAGAGTTTCTTTAAAGGTGAAGACTTAACATTAGCTCATCCAAATTTCTGGAATGAACTGTTCCTTATTAAACCTATGGTATGTATCTCTTAATTTTTTGAATTATTGTCTAAAAAAACCTATCAGAGTATGAGTTAATTGTAATATTTTAGGTACCTCACATCGAAAATGAAATTCTACATATGACATCAGAACAACTAAATGCTAGCAAAGAAAATTTAAATGCATTGGTATGCCATTGTGTCGATACATTAGTCGACGAACATCCATTTAGAATAGTATACGCGTTGCAAACTTTAGCAGCTGTTATCCAATCCATGTACAAGAAAGCCAACCAAGGAGACTATGGATTTAATTTAATAGATATTCTTGTAGGCTTTGATTCTGCGGAACAGAGGATGACAACGTTAATGCAGCATTGCAATAATTTTTTAACAGGTAAATATATAATAGGCAACAGTTATTAATTATTTGTATATATCATAAATATATATTAGTTTCATGTTCTTTTTTTTTTTTAAATAGATTAAAATTTATCGGATTTATTCCATACTCTATTTTATATATATATATATGTATGTATGTTATATTTTTAGCACTTTTTAAATATAATATTATCAAGAAAACTAATAAAAGAATTCATGTTATTTAGGTGAATATCCGGATAGTTTGAAAGCTTTGTGCCTGAAATTGTTATTAATAATAGTTACTGGTATGGATAATATCAGCCAAAATACCTTACTGGAATATGTGATGTTAAACAGCGTTTTTGAATCGCTAATTCAAGTATGTTAAATATTTATAAATCATAATTTTTTTATGTTTATGCAAAATGAAATTTTAAATAATATTTGATCTTATGTATTAATAGTTACATATATTATTTTGTATTATAGTTGTTGAGAGATACAGCTGCTAGAAATCGTCATGGTCATGATGCGGTTTTATTGTTAACACTTCTAGTCAACTATCGGAAATATGAAAGCGCAAATCCCTATATCGTCAAGTTATCAATTTTGGATGATGAATTAGCCTTAAATGGATACGGGCAAGCTATATCAAGTTCGTTGACGGAATTTTGCCGGCAATTTGCTCAACAAAGAGCAGGTATTCTGTATAAATGCAATAGTAACACTAATAGTAGTTTACTGTAATAGTACAACTGTTTAAATAATTAATATGTACCGTAAACATACTCCAGAATAATAATAACACAATATATTTTCAGAAATACAAGCATCTTGGTTGTCTTCGTTAACTAGTATAGTTGGTAGCATGTTTGTTGGAGAGGAAGAAGCAAAAACGCAACAAGTTCGTGCAAATAACGCTTTACTTTTAGCTTTGTATGAGGCTACACACTTAAATCGTAATTTTGTAACTACTCTGGCCTACACGCAAAGCGATACTAGTGCACCTCCGTCGCCGAATAACACCCTGGGTCCAAATGCAGTAGCTCCTGGTGCTTCACCACCTGATGTGATGGCTCAGCCGTTCAATCTACTAGCAACCTTTCTGCAGTATTGGTAAGAAGAAAAAAATATATAAATTAATATAAAATTATTAGTATATATTTAATAATCTACTGCTTAACGTTCATAAGATATCCATTTCCATTACAGTTCAATAGTTATGCAAGTAATTCGAACGGAGGCTATAATGAACAATGTCAAGTTGTGCTTCTTGATACTAAGCTGTATCGCGGAGGACCAATACGCAAACAGTTTGATGCACGACGCGAATCTGGCATTCAGAGTTCAATTACATAGAGTGCCTATGCATCATCGAAAGTTGCAGGACAAAGCAGCGCCTGCTCAACCACTTGCAGCCACGTTACTTGGTATTTTTTTCATATGAGGAGTTATATATTCTCTCAAAATATCGTTATATTAGAAATCAAATAAGGGCAGAGTTTATTAATAACTTTCAGCTTATAAAATATTACTTGAATATAAATTCTTTAAATTTTGAGAAAAATTGTAACAAATTGAAAAATATGTTTTAAATGCTCATTTTATTTAAAATAATTATTATTTATATCGCTTCATTATAGATTTGCTCGTCGAATTTGTGACATCACATATGATGAAGAAATTTCCACTGGAATTATATCATCAGTGTATCGGCGTTTTACAAAGACTGCTGTGTTATCAGAAAAGATGTCGTGTCAGACTTGGTTACCAGTGGCGGGATCTTTGGACCGCGCTAATCAATTTACTTAAATTTTTAACAACACACGAAAGCCATCTTATTAAGAAAATGAACATATTTCCTTTAGCTATTCAGGTAATGAGAGATTTGAAAGATTGAATGGTCATACGATCGAACAAGATAATATTTTGATTAGTTTTTAACAGGTAGTGAACATCTTAAATTTTTTTATTACTTATGCTGATACATTCCTATCGTCACCCAATAGTTACGATGAATTATTTTACGAAATTATTCGAATGAGGCTTATCTTTACCAATCTAAATGCTATGGGTAAGTAGTGAATAATAGTATAAGAATTTTAGCACTATAAACGAAATAGTGTTTTATAACGAGAATAAAATATTCTATATAAAAATATTCCAGCACTCAGGTATTCGACTAGCGAATCATATGAGTACAAGGAACACGCGCTCAAATTAACCAATTCTCTCGTTAATGTGAGGGATATAGTAAATCATTTTCCACCAAAGATAGCTGCGTGGCTAGCGAAGGAAAGTTTGTCGACACCAACGGAACAACAAATTCTGGCTATTATAATACAGAACTACGACAGTCTCGCTTTAAAACTGCAGGATAATCTAGATCAATACGAGAGATACTCGGAAAAGCCTAATCATACTGCATTTTTTGAGGAAATGGTAATCAAATAAAATGCATTAATCTATGTCTTGCACTATATTTTTCTTATATTATTCTTATATACGTTATTATTTTTAGGTTACTGGAGTGATAGTGGATACGCGGGCTTCGATAGATCTTAATTCTTTAGATACGCAAACTATATTAGAAGAGCTTTCAAATATTTCATAATGTAAAAGCATACATTGCAATATATTTTCAACATTGTGGTTACACTGCATTATTATCACACATCCTTCTCTTGCGTATTCCCAGCTAATTTTTCTTATAAATTAATAAAAAATTAGATATATCATCGTCGAAATATATTTTAAAATTCTTTATAATTCTTATTTTTTATTATTTCTTAAATAGCCTATATATACAGACGATCAATATTATTGCACATTATTATTGATCATGCAAAGATTACATTGAAAATTTATATAATATATTGTGTCAATCAAAAGTTCTTTAAAATATATTATGTAACTTGCAAAGTATTGCGCAACTTTAATAACGTAATTTATTAACGCTAAAAATAAGCGTCAATCGTCATAAATTGACACCTCACAGTATTCTCACATTAGGCAAACATATATTTTACAAGTATAATATGTTTGAAAGATTAATTGGCGGCATTCAGCAGCATATTTACTTTGTAATTGTAGGAGGTTTTATTCGTTGAGATAGGACAATTCCTTTAGAGATCTAAGAATGCAGTCCAATCGATGCAAAGCGCTTACTAAATATTGAACGCTAATGATACGATATATTTCACAAAATCTTCAATATAGTCTTCAGACGATCAATAATATTGTGCAATACCAAATATTATGAAATAATATTGGCCATCTAGGGGCCGCTTAAAACCTCGGGTTTTTGAGCTCCCGGCGCCACTTGATAGCAAGCATTCGAGTAATATCTGTGTCGTTTCGCTTCAGTGTAAGATTTGAAAAGTCATGAGTGACAGAAAAAGTATCTTTAGTAAAACTGAGAAAGTATTTATTCTTCGATGTATAAAAGTTTACAAGTCATTACCTGCATTATGGGATATTAAATCAAAAGATTACCATAATAGACAAAAAAAGAATGCTGCTTATGCAATTTTAATTAATAAATATCGAGAAAAATATCCAAACGCAACTAGAAAGCATATCATCAGAAAATTCAGTGTATTAAGGACAAGTTTCCGAAAGGAACTAAAACGAATTAACGATGCCAAACGAAATGGAACTGATGTGAAAAAGCCAACTTTATGGTATTTTGAAGAAATGCGTTTCCTTCAAGAAATACAAAATTCACGTAGCACAATGAATCAATTTAAGAAGACAGAAGAAAATAATTCTGTAATTAATGTAAGTAATTTATACAAAAATTTATTTGTATAAATATAGTTTTTCAACAATATTTATTTTGTGAAGAAATTCTTCTCTTGTTAAAATAATCAAAAATTGTTCAAAATTTCTTCGTTACATACTTGACCATTCATTTCAACATCTACCATTATAAATTCGTAGTTTGAATTAATTATATTACAGCTAATATATTACAATGCTAAAAAATTTTTGTGACTATATAGTGATTCTACGCCAGGTTTTTTTTATTCGAACATGTTTATTATTCAAGCAATGTGGAAAATTCTAATGTTATTCAAACTCTAGCAATTCCTTTCCATTCTTTTGCCATATTAGGAGTATACGAAAAACGTTACGAAAATTAACAATAACAGACAAGAAGGACTACGAGCCAAACAATAACTTTAATCTTTAAGAAACAATTATCAATATATTAAATATAAACACTACAGACATTTCGACACCGATCGGGTCATTGTCGTTAATGTTATATAAAAATTGAAATTATAAAGTAAACTTAGCCGTTATGAGTATATTATAATAAAAAAATATATAAATTCCTGTTATTCGAAATTGATGTGTTTTGTGGTCGGCGACTGTGGTACATATCAGATTATATGACGAAAATTTTAGTCATAATTATTGAGTGTTCTACTGGATGAATTTCGTTATTAAAATGTTATAATTTAAAATAATGATTTTTTTACAGATGACGCAGATATATAAAGAAAATGAGAACCAGAAAGAGATGAAGAAAGACAATACATGCCAAATAGTAAAAGAAAAAATAACAATCAAAGAGAGAGAGAAAAATGCACAAGATGAACTTACGGGTTTTGCATGCGAATGTCTTAAATCAAAAGAAAATGAATATGACAAAATTGCTAAGGTTTGGGCTATAGAACTGCCAAAAATGTCCCGAGAACAACAAATTTATGCCAAAAAAGCTATAAATGACATATTATTTGAGGGTCAATTGGGAAATTTGCATTGGAATTCTGTGCAAATCGATCCTCTTATAATAAGGCGTACTTTTACACCAATATACAATTCAGATTCTACATAAAGTCCAGTGGAAATTTATCAAAAATTCTCGTCATATTTTTTCATTCATTATTATCATATTTTTATCATATTTCCTAATATTTTTTAAACTTTAATAAGTATTTATAAATTTGACTATGTCTTTTATTTAACTTTTATAAGTCAACAAAATAAGAATTTATATTATTTTTTATAGCAAATATATGTATGTAATTATATATTTAGTAAAGCATTTCTTTTATCTCTGTTATCTTTCTGCATGTATTATTGCCTTGCAATTCTATTACAATAATATCAATATTTTGAGGTGATATAGCACTTATAAATTTGAGATTTTCAAAAGAATTTTTAATAAAAAAGTATTATAATGTAGATAGATAGATGCTGATGGAATGACATTTCGCATGCAAGTCTCAATTTTCTCGATTTATGTTCAATCATGATCAACGTCTTATCAGATATTGAACTATTTAAACATAAAAAGTTTTAATTATTGTTAAATAATCGCTAACTCTTCATTCATTGAATTTTTATATGTATATTTAAATAATATGAAGGTTAATAGTAAAAAAATTGGTATTATTCACAAAAATTTAGTTATTTGTGTTCTAAAAAAATGTACAATATAGATGTGTATAATATATAATATTCACTAGCATTTCAATTTCTTACATACATACTGTACACGTTCATATCTCTAATTTTTAACATTTATATTATCGAAATAATCATTCATTTGATCTAAGGATAATTCATGATAAGTTGAATTATTCACATCATGAATTTCAAATAAAGGAATCGATTGGGTTGCCGCTTTGCCAATGACAATTATGTAAGGATAACCTGATCGACGCGCAAACACTAATCGTTTACCAATCGTGTAATGCAAGCGATCATCTAATATTGTATCAATATTGCGTTTGTAGAATATCTCAAATAGCTGTTCAATATAGGCAGATGTACTTTCTTCTTTGCTTCCAGCCTGTAAATTTCAAGGTAGAACATTCTTTAATAGATATACAGCTATATTTTTTATTTTACTTACCTTTGGTGGTATGATGCATACTGTATATGGTGCTAACTTTACAGGCCATCTCATCTCATCATTTATTGACAAGATTTCGACAACTAATGTAATGATACGACTTAATCCTAGACCGAAACAGCCCATTACCATAGGTGTCGGTTTATTCTGCTCCATAAACATTGCTTCTAATGGCTGTGAATACTTTGTGTCTAATAAAAATGTATGCCCTACCTGCAATTATCGTTTATGCAATGTAATATATTTTTTATAACGTTCGCATGCTTATACCTTTAATTTATATCAATTAGTTGTTAAATAAAATATAATTTTTTAAAGAAATTTTTTACCTCAGCAGCAGTATATAAATGCAGTTCATTTTTACATTCTGGACAACTCGTCGTCTTAGAAATACTTTGATTAATAGAGAAAAGGCACGATGGACACTGAAGTATCGTATCTTCACCAATATCAGACATATAATGATATTCATGTGATAACAGACCTCCAATTGTTCCCACATCACCTATGCCTTTTAATAATCATCATTAAATAATTCTATAAGGTCGTTCCAAAGTTGGTAACTGTATGTCTATAAAACACGTAGATTCTAATATACAATTAGAAATGTTAATTATTTTTTGTATACTTTATACCAATCTGCCTAAAAATATTATTATAAGACTCGCAGACTAAATCATACGTATGTCGTGCATTGTCTAAGCTAGTATCAAACGTATACAAGTCCTTCATGATAAATTCTCGGCTACGTAGGAAACCAAGCCGTGGTTTCATTTCATCTCGCCATTTGCTAGAAATTTGATATAACTTCAAAGGTAATAATTTATTGGAAATCTGGACAGTTTGTCCTGCTGACGATATTAAATCACAGACTGCTTCTTCATGTGTCTGTAACAACATAAAATTATTTGAGATTTCAGATAAACAAAAAAAATGGATATATTATATTGGTGTAAAAGATTCACCTTATTAGTTAATAATTTTTTAAAGTAATTTCTACTAATCGAAATAATAGGTTGGATTTTCTAGAAAATAATTTTCCAGTTTTTCTTCAAAAAAACTCAAAATTTTATCTGAAGTAGTATTTGATAAAGGAAAATGTTTTATAATATATTTCTTACTTACTGGACTCAATATATACTCTTTCTTGTGTCTATCCGTAACTGTAAACAGTTCGGTATTGTTGGAATTATATCTATCAGTTTTCTTCCACAGCGCAGCAGGAGTTAACGCTGGAAGTAGTATTTTTTGTGCGCCGATATTTGTCATTTCTTTGTCAACAATATCAATTAATTTATTTAAAACTCGTAGTCCTAATGGCAATAGAGCATACATGCCAATACTAAGTGGTTTAATAATTCCATAACTAATCATTAACTGAAACAAAAAGATTAAAGGTAAAGTTTTTAAGTTAAAGAAAACCTGTTATTTAATTCAGGCATTTTTATTTCCATTTGATGACACAAATTGATACAAGTATCATTTTGTCTTTGTTAATCATTGGATACTAAGAAAGAATATTTATATTGACTTGTGTCACTAAATGGAAAGTACTTATACAAAAATTAAAGAAGCATTTGGAACTAAATACCTAATATGTTTAAAAATACTATTAGTTTTTAGTAGTAAATTTGTTCAAGAAATTTACAACTTTTGTTAGAAATACTGTTTTAACACCATAATTACATCAAGTAAATAGTTTTCATCAATTAAACAACACTGTGAAAAAATTATTTACCTAAGTAACTCTCAAAAAATGTTTAATAAATGTTTAAAAGGTTATACATACCTTATGACTTTTAGATGTAATATCTGTCTTGTTTCCGCTATCGAACGATCCGCTCGTTCCTTGAAATATTCTGGACATCCTAGTCAGATTAATAATTTTCGTTTTACTTGCCATTTCTGAAAATGTTTATACAACAATCCACGTGGATAACCGGCCAATCACATGTAACGTTCATGGATAATTTCCTTTTGTGTCTGTTTGTAAAAATGGCCCCGACTCTAACACAGAGCCGATACGGCTAGAATCGAAAATGCCGCTTATGCGGTGAGTAACAAAAGTCTAAAAGAGTAACAATTGCGCGCTTTAAGCCGGTCACACTTTCCAAAAATGATGTCTTCGCAAAAGTCCGTTGTTCTTCATCTATATAATTTCCTTTCTAACCCACTGAATGTAGCTGCAAATAGTGCAGATTCAGATACTCGATCATAGAGCGGCGCTAAATACGCTATAATTGTTTTTTTTTTTTTAATGTATGTACCTACGTGTATCGCAGCGTCATTCGAAACATTTTACATAAATTAACAACGAAATATTTGAAATTTTAATGATATTTTTATCATAAATCAAAAGTAAAGAGAGAACATTATATTTATTCGTTTTAATTATACTGCTATATCAATATCTCTACATTCGAAACAAGACGGATGTTTATTCAGCGGTGCAGAATAATACATTATTTGCTTTTCTGATATGTAAATGGCATTTATGACAACATCGACGTCAAAATAACGTACTCAGGAAAGAACAAGGCCGATTATGTAATTTAAAACGAGGTGAAAATTACAAAAGTGATCGAATTTACTAAGAATATATATTTTCATTGATCAACTCACAATCAGTCTATATCAGCATGAAATATTTCAGAAATATTTCCTAAATATTTCATTGTAAGATCTGAAATATTTCAAAAATTTTTCATGAAATATTTCTGAAATATAAATATGTCCAGAAAATCAAAGTTTTTGAAATATTTTTTTCTTACAATATTTATACAATATTTCTAAAATATTTTAGTGAAATATTTTAATGCAGTATTTTTAAATGTTTTACAAATTAAATCTGCATTTATGAAATATTTCTGATATATTTTATTGAAATATCTCAAAAAATGATTCACGTAAATATTTCATAATGTGCACTATAAATTTGCCTATTTTTGTAATTTTTACTTCGTTTCAAGATACACAATTAATCGACCACAAGACCTATTGTACACGCGGCTATCGCAAACCTGTTTGTAAAGACGCCTGCAACATTTCCCTCTTCCTCTCGTTGCCCGCATAATATGCTGAGTATGCATATAAGTTGAGTTAACCATCGTTATCTGGTTATCGCATCGCGCGATTGTACGCTAACTTCGCTCCATTCAGGGTCGCAAAACTCAGCTCGTGTCACGAGTATATACTAATATTCCGAGTATTATTTTATCTTTATTATTCACCGAATGCTGAACAAGGCTAAAAGATACTCGGAGTCGACAGTCAAGTTTTGGAACGCACCCCAGGCCCCCAAGCGATTCCGTCGTCACGGTGCTCGTCGCCCGTTGCACATTTCATTTCGGTCCAGTTCGGCCCGGTCCGGTCAGTCAGACCTCAGTGAGTCAGTCAGTCGCGAGTCGCGCTGCCGGTGGTTGTAAGGATAGTGTGTGTGCAGCACTGCAGCGTGTGTTTAGAATTTTTGGAGTCGTGCGGATGCGCTCGCCTTCTTCCCCGTCTCCGCCTGTTCTCCCGGCGCCTTCCAGTCGTTGCCGCCGTCATCGTCGCAACACGTACTTTTACGAGGACCCGCACGTCACGACGGGCACACGATGTCGGGGGACGAGCCGTTTCACAGCCTTTTCACAGCGACGGACAGCATCGACGGTATCTGGCCCTTCCTGCAAAGCGTGAGTTTCATCCGTCTCTTTCCTCTCTCTCTCTCTCTCTCTCTCTCTTTCTCGTTTTCCTCTTTATTCTGTCCCTCTTCTGTACTCCGTTTCGTTATTCCTCCGTTTTGTCGCGGCATCGCTCGTTGTTTCCAGTCCCGCGGTGACAGTTCCTCGCCAGTCTTGTCAAACTTATTTTTCTTTCTCTTTTTTCCTCGAGCGGGCGTCTGGATCTTACGACGACGACGTCAGCTGACCGCCTATTAAATCCGAATTTTTTCCATTTTTTGATCACTGAGAAGACGAGAAACTGGAGTCGCTGCTCCAAAAAGCACCGGCGCAATATGCGGCGCGTTGATTACGTGGGTTCTTCGTTTCGCGATAATTCTCGCGCCCCGCTTTGACATTTGGTGGCAAAAATGTATGTATATATATATA